GATGTCAGGCTTTTGGAAATCGAAAATGGATGGCTGACGAGCCGAGGACGGGGGAACAGGCGGCACATTCGTTGAAGTGCCCACTTGCTGAAAATCAAAAATCGATGCCTGACGAGCCGAGGCTGGTGGAGATCTGCCAGGCTTCTGGAAATCGAAAATCGATCGCTGATGAGCCGAGGACGGGGAAACAGGCGGCACATTCGTTGAAGTGCCCACGTGCTGAAAATCGAACATTGATGCTTGATGAGCCGAGGTCGGGGCAAACACTGAAGTACCGACTTTCTTAAACTCGAAAATGGATTGGTGAGCCGAGGCTGGGGTGAATGGGTTGGAACTTAGAGCAGGGGTAGGTTCTTTGAAATCGAAAATGGATCTATGAGGAGCCGAGGATGGGACGTCCACTTCCATCACTAGTTCGGATTCTTGGCTCTGTCCTATCGGCCACCCAGAATTTAGGTTTGGCTAGTTTTCTGTCACCGACTGGAACTCACCACTTGGTTGAAGAGGGGGTAGAGCCTCGGCCGTTCCTAAGATATGGTTAGAACTGCTCAGCCGACAAGAGTACATAAAACTTACCATCCTTCATTTCTTGGTCTTTCATCACAGCTTCTGTTTATCTACATTAAGTAGACAATCCTTGGTGTGGAGTAGGGACAATACCTGGATTTGTTAAAGACATATCAGTCAGAGAGTAGATAGCTTTTCCTGGGATTGCACTGTGTGGTTGGTGATGAAGATGCATTGTTTTTCAACGGTGGGAAAGCAAGCCACTGCAGATCGGCCATGGAACATTCTGCGGATCTCGGTTGAACATTGTACGGATCTCGGTTGAAGTAACGCCACCACGTGACCGCGTTTACAACTTCGTAATTTCACATTCACCATTGTCCCATTCCGACGCGCACATTCACCAACCTCGATCGTCCCATTCCCACTTACCATGTCCACTGCTGAACTTGCTCAAGCCGCTCAACAGGCCCATACCCTCACTCCCGGGTTCTTGGAG